ATTATTAAACTTAAGATAAAATATAGAATGGCATTGCATTGAATGAGTCCATGTGGACGTTCTAGGACGGTGGTAAAGGAGGATGTGCCTACACGGTTACGCCTTTTCTTGAAGTAAGTAGAGAATATAATATTGGTAAATATAATATCAATATTATACATATAAATTATTTTATTTAAATATTTATAGGTGGATCCATAAATAGTACGAATGGTTATTTATATTTCGGTCCACGTATGATTGTATACTCAACAAAATAGGAGAACGCATGATTTGTTATTAAGTATAAAAATTTGTATAATATTATAAATAGTTAAATTTCTTTTGATATTGTGGAGAATTGCATTTACAATTTTAAAAATTGAATCGCTTGAGTTATTGATAAATCAAATGATTCCAAAATAATCCTCTTGATTAAATGATTTTTTAAAAATACGATAAACAATACTTTGGTACATGATTGGTTACCAAATGAATAAAGATCACCATGATTTGTTAATAATATTGACAAATAAGATTATATTGTAACATCGTGATAAATATCACAATAAAATTTTTATAACAGTTTTTTAATTTTTATTTTGTAATTATAATTGCAATTTTATCGTGCGTGCTCAAATAATATATATAAAAAATAAATCTACTTAATAGATGATTTTTGAAGACATGTTGTATGATTAGTTACAGAAAAAATAAAAAATTTCAATGATTCTTAATTAATACAAAGAATTAGATTTGTATTGCGATAATTTTCACAAAGTAATTAATTTTTAAAATCGATACCACATTATTATATAGAAAATTGTTTTATTAATCGAATTGAACAATTTACAACAGGTATGTATAATTTGATTTTTATTTTTTATTTATAAATATTAAAGTAATTTTTACTATATTTCCTTTAATAATAAGTCAATTTATTTAATTACAAAGTCAAAGTTTCTATTTTATATTATTCCATCAACTTTTTTTCTATAAATATAGATACAGATTTTGTCAAATTCCACTGGTTGAACACACTTAGAATTTGGGGAAAAGTTTAATGATGATATTTTAAAAAATTAATAAGTGAATTTAAAAAATATATAATCAAAATATTATTTTTATTAATAAACTAAAAATGTAATAAAATTAAAAATAATATTTAAATAATATTGCCTTTATTTTAGCTTTTCAGAATTTTAATTTCTCTTTTTAGGTGCAAAAGTTGATGCACATGCCATTGTTGGCTGAAAATGATATATTTTTATAACCGTATTTAAATATTATTTTTTTGTTTTATTACATATTTAGATTATTAATAAAAATAATATTTTCATTACTTATTTTTCATACTCACTTATTTGTTTTTTTAAATAATCATTATTAAACTTTTGCAAAAATGTAATTTGTATAGCTTCATTTTCTTAAGGTAATTTTATTAAAGCTATTTATTACTTTTTCTTATAAGTATGTAAAATGTAAATTATAAAAAAAATAATATTTTGTACATATAACTATATCATAAAATAAAATTAATTGATTTCCATATTTATATAAAAAAATAAAATTAGTTGGGACTTACAATGAAAAGTTAACTAAAAAAGAGAATCTTAAATTGAGAATAACCTAAAATATAGATTTTTTGTTGTAAAACAATAAAATTTAAGTATTATATTTATACAATTCAAGAAAAAATTATGAAATTTTTGTTTACTCTACATTTTGTCAAATTCCGCTGGTTGAACACGCGCTATTTGTCAATTCTCGAAATTAGGAGTTTGCTTTTGTCCTACATACTTTAACACGCAGCAAGACAGTTTTTTAATTTCATCTCTCTCTCTCCTCTCTCTCTCTCTCTCTCTTTCTCTCTCTCTTTTTCTGTTGGCACCTTAATATANTATGTTTCTTTCTTTTCTTTGGTTCATTTTCTTAGTTTTATGCAACATTTTCTTGATTGTGACCAAATGGTGAAATCTATTAACTAAATACATAACATCTCCGATTTTATCCTCTGCTTATGGGTTATTTTCAAGTGAATTTTGCAGTCCCAGTATGTTTTAGGACAGTAAGATCTTAATTTCATGTTTATTACACAAAACTTATAATCTATTTTCCTTTTCCATTGTAATAACAACAAAAAAAAAAAAAATGTATCTTTTCTTGATTATCTTCACTTGAACACCTTCTTCTAATTTAATTGTTTGAATTTTTACTCAATTTCCTTCTTTCAGTTTTCACTGGTTTAAGTCTAAAATGGACTACAAAGGCAAATCCATGGAATCCAAATATGAATGTCTCCTCTTCGGTGAGTTTCACACAAAGTCTAACCGTTAGTCAAAAAATGCATATTTATGCTATGAATTGTAATACTTTTGTTCATATTGTTTTGTCTGAGTATAACATTTCAATTGGAAAAAAATAAAATATGGTTTTAGCCAAATATCTTGAATACCAAGCCTAATTTTTTCTAAGTTTTCAGATGTTGATGATACCCTTTATCCCCTGAGTTCTGGCATATCAGCAGAATGCACCAAGAACATTATAGGTATATATCATCATTTGCATTATATCGAGTTTCGTCATAATAATGTATTATTCTTCTTTCTACTTTTTTGAATTAATTGAAAATGGTACATGTTAATCTATAGAATATATGATCAATAAGCTTGGCATTGAGGAGGAGAAAGTTCCTGAGATGAATGCACAGCTGTACAAGGAATACGGCACGACTATGGCCGGTCTTCGGGTACATAATTTCTTCCTATTGTGTGCTTTTAGATATAATCATGACTTTGAAAAAAATTCGTCCGAAAATGAATTTATCACGTCTTTTGACAAATTCTAGCATGCTCGTTTTTTTTTTCTTTGTAGGCCATTGGTTATGACTTTGACTACGATGATTACCATAGGTAATTGTTCATTTACTCCATTCCTTTAAACTATTCTTGTCTTACTTTTGAAATAATAATAATAATAATAATGTTAATCTTAAGGAATAAGAGATTATATCATAAGATACAATTTCAAGTAAATTATGTTTGAAATAATTATCATAACAAATTAAGTGTCGTGTTTTCGGTGCTTCGTGTAGCTATGTGCACGGTAGATTGCCTTACGATTGGTTGAAGCCGGATCACACTCTAAGAAACCTTCTCCATAGCCTCCCATTACGTAAAGTCGTAAGTTTTTAGTCTCCCTTTTATTTTTTTTCATATAAATTTTTAGTTTTTGTTTGTCCCTTTTGTTGAAAACTTAAAGAAAAAAAAAAAAAAAAAAACAGATCTTCTCGAACGGAAACGAAGCCCACGTCGCTAAAGTTCTGAGTAGGCTCGGGATAGAGGATTGCTTTGACGACATCATTTGTTTCGAGACTTTGAATCCTACACACACCAAAAATCTGCTTGAAAATGGTGGTGAGTTTGAATAATAAGTCGAAAATTTAAGAGCATTGTATATAATAAATATTAAATAGGACTTGTTTCGTGATTCTTCTCTGTTTTTGGTACAGAAACCCACGAGTCCCCGATAATATGTAAGCCATTTGAGTACTCATTCGAACAAGCATTCAAAATTGCGGAGATTAACCCCAGGAAAACGGTGAGAACTCATGAAAATCGATTGAGCGAGTCCATTATTATTCCATCCACAATTAATTTAATTAATTTCTTAAATTTTATTTTCCTCAGCTGTTTTTCGACGACTCGATCCGCAATCTACAGGCTGCAAATAGCGTAGGCCTCAAAACTGTTTGGGTAAGTTGCCGATTTTGTCCCTATAATCGATAGTCACGACAAATGTGCTTGGAAAAAATGTGCTCAAAGTAGCTCGATTTTTGCTTTTACGTGAAAACAGGTGGGCTCGTCTCGTAGGACAAATGGGGTCGATTATGCATTAGAGAGCATTCACAATATAAAGGAGGCATTGCCCGAGCTGTGGGAAGCTTTGGAGAAATTGGATGTTCGTTACTCGGGTGAGACTGCAATCGAGACCTACGTGAGAGCTTAGTTATGTTTTTTTAACTGTATGAACTGAATGAGTGTAACTCCTTTTTATGAATGTTCACTAATAAAGATTAATTTTAATTTGGCTTGCATTTCTCAATAGTTCCCCTTCTCTTTGGTTTTGTTATGACGACTTGTGATTTGTGAATGGTTAAAGCTCCAAATAGTTTTGATCCATTTTAAATGTTACCAACAAGAAATGTTCGTTATTGTTATTAGCAATTATTTATTGGATTAGTGAACGTAATTGAAAGCAAATGTAATCAATCAGTATCAGAAACGATTTTGGGAAATCGATACATACAGTTGGAAGATCTAAGCAAATAGAAAAGAAACTAAAAAAAAAAAAAGAAAAGGAAAAAAGAACCTTCTAGAATCAATAATGGCAGTGAAGTAATGTTGGAGAGTTAGCCAAAGACAAAACCAACTTGTCCGAGCCTCGTTGCTCCCTTGCGACGAATCTCAACCGTTGATTTTCATCCTCAAGAGCCGGTAGCTTGAGATCCAATGGCCGCCCATTCCCCTGCCTCCTCCCTTCCTCGGGCCCCCCGCCTGTAGGCCCGGCCCAGTGCCGCTTCATGTGGCCTCCGAGGGCCTGGCCCGATGCAATCTCCGCTCCGCAGCACGAGCACTCGTGAACCCTTGGAAAAGATAGCGTCTTCGGGACCGACTCTACGACATTGGCCAAGTGAAGATAACTCGGTTGCAACATTCTTCTCTTGGGTGCCGGCACGAAACCCTCCTCGTCAGGAGGAGGAACTGTCGCAGGATTCCTAGGCTCGTTTTTGGGCTTCTTGTGGCTGGCCCGGTGGCCTCCGAGGGCTTGGAAGGACGTGAAGGCCCGATTGCACGTCTTGCAAGCGTACATGCACGAGGTGCTCGGATGCTTGTTTGAGTTCGGGAAATGGCTTCGAGCCAAGAGGATCAAGCACCGGGCCGTGTCCTCTTCCTCCGTGGTGGTGCTCTCGTTAGAGGAGGCCGGGCTCGGTCTTGGGCCCAGCCCCGGCCCGTGATCTAGGGTCGGGGAATGGGGCCGTTGTCTCTTTGTGCGCTTGCCTTTGGCGATATTGGGGGAGAGGTTGTTAGAGCTCTGGCAAGGCGGTGGGGCCGCGGCCGCTACTTGCTCCTTCGTGGTGCTAGTTGTCATGGTTGCCCGCCGGCGGCATCACCGTGGGCAGTTGGGTAGGTGGTTTGTTGTGGCTTTCACTATCTAGAGAGAGAGAGACTAATAATGGGGAGAGAAGGTGGAAGAGAGGTGGAGGTTAGATAGAGGGAGGGACACTAGTTGTGTGGGGTGGTGATTGTGTATGCATAATATAGGAGTGAATGCAAACAATTCTATTCTTAGGGGTGTTTGCATATAAAACAACTAAATTTCATATTTAAATTATACTCAAAATCTTACTCACTTTTATCTCAATATCATTATTCTAAATATTATTAATATAATTATATAATATCAATAAATAATTCATACACATCACATCATATATGTATTTATATATATATATATAT